ATCAACTCAACTTTCTTTTTATTGAAACTAACAAGTAAAAGCTAAATGATAGTATTATAATAGTTTTCATACGAGTTCATTTCAAGTAGCAGTTTGGGAAAGTGTGAATTTAATAAAATAAATATGTTCCTAAAACGGTTCTAAAAATTTATACTTGTAATTTTTTTGCCAAACCCAACTATACCTTGAAAAATTCAAAAAGTGTAACAGAATAATGTAATAATAAATTTAACTAGTCCCCAACTAAAAAAAAAAAAAAATTGGAACAAATTAGGCTGAAATAGGTCAGTTGTCCGAAGATTGCACTCAAGTAACAACATGTTTCAGGTTTCTATTAAACAGTCTTGAAACCCATCACTATAAATCAAAACCATTCCAAATGATCAGTTATATCAGAAAGTTCACTGATATAATATATGTAAAAAATAAAATTGTATGAAAACTATTAAAGACATGTATTAGACAAGGTATTATCAAGAATTATTCACCCTACGTATAGGTTTCTGATCAATTCTGTCATATAGTACTACTTTATTTTATAGTACACCAGTCTTTTACATGTAATATTGGTCTTATAACCCTATTGTATAACCTAAAACCTGGTACAAATTTTTCGGGAATGCGGATTTCTAATTTTTCACCGGATTAAACAAATTTTTATTTTCACTGGGATAACACAGAACATATTATTCAGAATAGCATAAAATATAATATTTTTCCAAGAATTTTGACATTTTATCAAGACTTTAAGTAAATCTGATGTTTTTCACAAAAACATGTAACTTTTGATAACGTGTACATTGATATTTTTGTGAAATTTATAGTACATTTTGATAGTTTTCACAGGAAGGAATGATGTATCCTAATTTTTATCCCAAATTTGAAAAATATAATAATTAATCCAGGTTTCTAGACTATTAACAATAGGGAAATTAACCTCAGCAACCAGCTACAGCTGTATCTTCACCACTACTCTTCGTTATATTTAACGTGGTAAATATCTGAAATTAAATCAAATATAATCCTTGTTAAGACATTTACAAGTACCGTATCATTGCACATAACAAAACAACAATTGTTATGGATTCTTTATTCCTTTTGAACACAACGTTTCATTACACATACAGGTAATGTTCTCAAGTGATGACGTTCATTACACATACATGTAACGTTCTCAAGTGATGACGTTCATTACACATACAGGTAACGTTCTCAAGTGATGACGTTCATTACACATACAGGTAACGTTCTCAAGTGATGACGTTCATTACACATACAGGTAACGTTCTCAAGTGATGACGTTCATTACACATACAGGTAACGTTCTCAAGTGATGACGTTTATTACACATACAAGTAATGTTCTCAAGTGATGACGTTCATTACACATACAGGTAAAGTTCTCAAGTGATGTCGTTCATTACACATACAAGTAATGTTCTCAAGTGATGACGTTCATTACACATACAGGTAAAGTTCTCAAGTGATGACGTTCATTACACATACAGGTAACGTTCTAAAGTGATGACATTCATTACACATACATGAAACGTTCTCAAGTGATGACGTTCATTACACATGCAGGTAACGTTCTCAAGTGAGGACGTTCATTACACATACAGGTAACGTTCTCAAGTGATGACGTTAATTACACATACAGGTAACGTTCTCAAGTGATGACGTTCATTACACATACAAGTAATGTTCTCAAGTGATGACGTTCATTACACATACAAGTAATGTTCTCAAGTGATGACGTTCATTACACATACAAGTAATGTTCTCAAGTGATGACGTTCATTACACATACAGGTAATGTTCTCAAGTGATGTCGTTCATTACACATACAAGTAATGTTCTCAAGTGATGACGTTCATTACACATACAAGTAATGTTCTCAAGTGATGACGTTCATTACACATACAGGTAATGTTCTCAAGTGATGACGTTCATTACAAATACAGGTAACGTTCTCAAGTGATGACGTTCATTACACATACAGGTAACGTTCTAAAGTGATGACGTTCATTACACATACAGGTAACGTTCTCAAGTGATGACGTTCATTACACATACAGGTAAAGTTCTCAAGTGATGACGTTCATTACACATACAGGTAACGTTCTCAAGTGATGACGTTCATTACACATACAGGTAACGTTCTCAAGTGATGACGTTCATTACACATACATGTAACGTTCTAAAGTGATGACGTTCATTACACATACAGGTAAAGTTCTCAAGTGATGACGTTCATTACACATACAGGTAACGTTCTCAAGTGATGACGTTCATTACACATACAGGTAACGTTCTAAGGTGATGACGTTCATTACACATACAGGTAATGTTCTCAAGTGATGATGTTCATTACACATGCAGGTAACGTTCTCAAGTGATGACGTTCATTACACATGCAGGTAACGTTCTCAAGTGATGACGTTCATTACACATACAGGTAATGACATCACTTGAGAACGTTACCTTATGTGTAATGAAACATTGTGTTCAAAAGGAATAAACAACACAATTTTTGTGGCAAATTCAAAGAACAGATCATATAAAACAATGAAAATTGTGTTAATAAAAGTATCTGAATATAAATATAAGAATTAAATGTTGATCTCACTAGTATTATTTGTGTGTAAACGCAGTTGATCACAACACAAACATACATATATGACTTTTTCAGTTTGTCAGGTGATCAACTACGTTTACACAATGATAATGCCAGTCAGACCAACGTTTAATTCTTAAATAAACATAATATTAGCCTTATATGATAAATATACTTTATAACCAGCAGCGAATTAAGAATAAGTGTAGTGGCATCTACCTGATTTGCTACAAGGGAGATAACTAGTACTGATTTGTAATTGTTCAGACTACAGTAGAGTTACATCTTATTTTTTATTTTCTAGGTGCATATAATGGGAAATGACATGCAGTGTGCAATGAGGTAAATTTCGCCACAACTGCAGTACAACTGAATACAATCCTATAATGTGGTTAAAGATACATATACTGTAAGTGCCGTCCCTTTCCAACAAATAAATTTTGGAGGATCCACATACATATTGTTTCATTTAATGACATGCTCCATGACTAAACAACTCTTGAAGTTATGAATCTTGGAATTTATATCTGTGTTACTCTGAGGTAGAGTGTGAATTTGGACCAAAACCCTTTTTGCAGTTTTCAAAATAGTAAGGGTTATTGTAAATTTTATGTTTTCTATCAATGTCTATACAGGGAGCAATACTTGAACAAGAACCTCATGAAATTCAATTGGTTATAGATTTTTCAAAAAATAACTTCACCGTCAGTTTCATTACAACAGTTGACTCTGTGATACCCATCATCTGAGTATTCAGATATATTCCAGACTAAAATCAACAAAAAGGCAAACCTGTCTCTTTAAAATTGATGATATATTACCTCAGAGCATGTTGGATGTATACCAATAGTCATATCAAAATCTTCTTTAGTAGCCCCTTTTCTCATAGCTATAGAATAACCTTGTGTTATCTCTCCAGCATTAGGTCCTAACACATGGAAACCTACAACTCTTTCCTGTAATAAGAGAAGAAATGAGCTTCAAACTACTATAAAAAAAAATTACAAGGCAAAAAACCCCAAAAAACTGAAGAAAAAAAAAAACTGAAAGAAAAAAACTGAAAAAAAAATTCTACCAAATTTTTACATTACTTTTCTTTTCCAGCCTTTAAGACTCCCGCACACGGAGAGAATGTGGTGCACGCCAATAGTACAGTGCCAATGTTGCTACTTTCTCACCATACTACTCACACGATCCATCAAAATAGCGGACTACTACAGTGAGTCACGCTTGTACTAATAGCGTTGCGTTCGTCGTCTGAGAAAGTCGCGCACAGTTACCCGCACACAGCGTGCTATCGGCCACGAGTGGTCAAAAATATCAAACACGATAGATATTTCCGGGTGGCCAAATGTACACTAAAAATTACCCGCACACGAAACGCTACTAGTCGAGCATAATTGGCGCTGCGCCATTTTCTCTCCGTGTGCGGGCGCCTTTAGAGGCAATTTTTTTCTGTTAAGCTAGATCATCTAAGACTGGTCACATCAAAGACGTTACAAGACCTTTTAATTATTGACAGATCTTGAACACATTAAGGAGCACCTCAATTTATGGTCGCATCAGAAATACTAGTTGCTTTTTCCGATCAGCATCCATGACAAAGGGAAGCCAGAGCATCATTCCACAAAAACATCTTACGATTAATTTTGTTGTAAGTATGGTCTTTCTCAATGTAAACTTACAAACTTAGGAAAAGAGTTTGTCCTGGAAGGGGACTCAGAATGAACTCGACCTCCAGGTAAGTGAGTAGTATCCCACTGAACTATCCATGCAACCCAAACAGAAGTATCAATATTGAAATGAAACTAAAGTCATCTAGATTTTCATACCTTTTCTGTTTTTAAACACACTAGTTTGGCATAGCAGACATTTTCTTCTCTATGTGGTACTGTCCATTCTAAAGGCATGAAATTGGAATGATAAACCTAAAAATAGAATATGATGGCTATAGACAATCTATATTAATGGTTTTAAATTTTAATAATTGTCACATGGATTTGTTTTTTTTTTAGGATATATAAAACATGGATTGCAAATGGCATTTTTATAAATAGTACACCATTCCATTGACAAGCAAGATACACCGAATTAGCCAATAAATTTTCAGCATGTCAAGGGATGTTACTCAATTAATGTGTCGAACATATCGAATCTTTTGAACATTGATTTCCAAAGCCACTTATATGCTCTGTACATCAAAAGCTAAAGATGGGTTTCGTTATTTTTTAGTGTCAAATTAAGCAAACTATTTGATTAATTGGTGTTTCTAATGAATTATCATGTATTCTTAATCATATTATTATGTTCTTATTGCATATAATTAAGAGTTTTGACCAATCATAAATGTCCATTTATGTACAGTCTGGATAAACAAAAAAGACTTTTTGAGCTTTCTTGATTGGTCACTCATTGGAATTTTGCTGGTAACTTTCGTCTAATTTAGCTAATTTTGAATTAATTATGGACATGTGAGACAAACTTGAATATTTTCAAGTCATTAGATCACCTCTACTTTCTATTCATATAAGTAATTCATTTTCTTACATTTTAAATAAGTGAACCTATCTTAAAAACATTCTCAATATTTGTCAAATCATACCAAAATTTGCACTTGTCAAACATCTTGTTGGTACAAAAACAAACAAACAACAAAAACATCAGATAAAAAACGTGACCTAATTTGCTTCTACAAGAAATGTTGATGGGTGAAAAAACTAGAAGTGTAGGCACGNNTTAAACATTATATAATTACCTCAATGTTATCAGCACCATAT